AGTTCAACGGCACAGGAGAACAAATAACTAGGTAAAATATTAGGCATAAAAACTTTCTTTTCTGGAAATATCTATATATTTTGAATAAAATTAATCACACCAGTTTCCTTCATCTATTAAATGCACCCTTTCATTCAGTTCACAACTATTTCCCCATAATGGACACTAGAGACACAAAAAATGACAAAAATACAGTCTAGGGTCCCAAGGACCTTACCTTCTCATGGGAAGCACAGGAAATAAAGAAAAAGATTACAAACCTAGTGATTCCAATATCATGCTCTATATAAAACCCATGCATACCAACGTGTATAAAGAAAAATGGACTGGACTGGTATGAAGATCCCAAACAAAGGCTGAAGTGTCCCCTGGTATCTCATCCCCACCCTTTGTTGATTAGCAATGGTTTTAAGCAACATTAAAGTCACTTCATCATAAACCAAAGGAAAGATAATTTTCAACTCCATCTGGCATCTCCAAGGGCATGAGAGGTAACACACCAAAACACAGCCTTGTATAAGAACTGACAAGGTTTTCGCAGTGTCCTTCTGTGCCCCCTCTTTCCCTTCCTCCTCTCTTCATTTGTTTCTCCCTCCCTACTCACCACTTTTCTTTTCCTATGTTTATTGCTATTCTCTTTCATCCAAATGTACTGTCTACAAAAGCCCACGTTGAAACAAATCACTATTGAATACTGAACTTTGATTTTCCTGTTCTTGGTGCAAACTTTGTCAGTTTTTGCCCTTAGATGTGTGTGTGTGTGTGTGTGTGTGTGTGTGTGTGTGTGTGTGTCTCAACAAAAGAACAGACTAAATGAAGTTATTTTTATTTCCATATTGCTCTTGGCTGATTTTCTTTTGTGCGTCAGAGGCTTTCCAAAGGTTCCCAACTCAAGATCCAAAAAGTTCAAAAAATGATTGAGTACAGATTAAACTATTCCCCTCATGCAGAGGGAAGCCCAGGGCCGCAAGCATCACTAGCAACTGGAGAAGGAATCTGGGATCTGAAGCCCTAAGCAGCAAGACTTCCCGCGGCCCACAGCTGGCCACAAGCTTCTGCTCTGTGCACCCCGTACATAACTTGGGACTTAATTGAGCAGGTTAGCTCCAGGATGGTCAAAATGATTATTAAAATACTGAAGCATTTCCCCCACGATTGGCAAATACAGCCCTGCCCCCAAACAAACGCTGGCCTCTCCAGGCTTTCCCAGGATCCCTATCCCAAGGTCCTCCCAATCAGGAAGTAAGGCCTAGCCCTACAGATTTCCAGGACTCTGCCCCAAGGCTCCCAGCCCTGAACTTAACCTAACTCCACCTTAATTTCCTCTTCTGAAAACTAAGGGAGCTGAACCGACTTTCTGAGTTACACCCTGATTGCAATTATGTCAAATTATTTCTCCCTAAGGACAAATACAAGATAGGAATATGACAACCTGAAAAAAGCTTATTGGTTAGGAGGATGGATTTTCAGGTTATATTTTACTGGTGAGACAGCAGTGCCCAAATTCTGGGTTCAGGCCAGAGATGGAAACCCAGCTCTGCCGTATGCTAGCTATATGATCTCTCTGGGCTTCAAATTACCTCATCTATAGAATGAAGATGATATTAGTACCTATTTCACATGGTCATCTTGAGGATTAAACATGTTCCTGTTTGTAAAATGCATAGACTAGCACCTGGCACATAGTAGGCTCTACATAACTACTGACTAAATAAATAAATCATTTTATTCTGTCCCTGCAGTGTGTGTTTAATAAATTCAAAAACTAAGAAAATTTCACAACAGAAAGGAAAAAAAATTTTTTTAAACCCTGGGACACTATGAAACTCTTACATAATATACACTATTGTTTAATAACACAACACTAAAACATCTGGGATCCAGATTTTACACTGCACTGGAATGCATTCCCACTGCAGCAAAAGATATGACGTATTCGGTTCCTTTTCTAATCAGAAAAGTCACAGGCTTACCGGAAATTTAGGTTGCAAGTTTCTCATTTTCACCCTGCAACAACATTTATCCACACTCCAGCTGGAGAATACATTTTATTGTGTGGTGCTAACATTTAAAGGATTGTAAACACGAAACCAGGCCAGGCACAGTGACAGCTGTCTACTGAATACAATGACTCAGAGCAACTGCGAGTTTAAAGAGCCATATCTTTTGTGCTGAGTCCTCGAGCATGATTGTTCAGTAGACACCTGGAGGGCAGAAGAAATTGCCACGCCCAACAGCTAGCTTGGCCAAAACTGCTTCTACTTACCAAAAAGGTGCCACCATCTGAGCTCAAGCATACCCTTGATAGAGGCCACTGCACTGCTAAAGGAGACCAAAGTATTTCAGTTCTCTGTGAGGAACTAAGGGGAAAGAACTATCAATAACTAACCACCTCACGGATTTCTCCCTCTGGATACCTAGACTTCACAATACCTTTATTGCAAACTTAAATAGCTCACCAGCTTATCCTTAAATAGTTCCATGTCAGATCTGTCCTGATGGTGATAAGATTTACTAAACACCAACTGGCTGTAGCTGTTCAACCTTCCCTCTTTAAAAGTGCATTCTGAATGAGGGGGTGAGGGGGGAGAGGGGGAAATGGGTGACGGGCACTGAGGAGGGCACTTGTTGGGATGAGCACTGGGTGTTGTATGTAAGTGATGAATCATGGGAATCTACTCCCAAAGCCAAGAGCACCCTGTTTACACTGTATGTTAGCTAACTTGACAATAAATTATATTAAAAAAAATTACAGGCTAACAAAATAAATTCTAAGGAAAAAAGTGCATTTCTGCAAAGCCATGAGAAGGAACTCAAACCTCGATTCGTGAGATATCTAGAGCCTGAAGCACAATCGCTGTCATCAAAATGTTTTGAAAACCCCTCTGAGAATAACAAAAGATGCTCTGTAGACCCATGGTGGTGATGGTAGCACAAGGAGAAAGTACTTAATGCTACTAACTGTATGCTTACAAATAGTTACAATGGCAATTTTTATGTTGGGTATTTACCACAATAAAAATAAAATTTAAAAAAACTCTAAGGGCTAAAGGTAAATGATTTTCCTAATCAATTTTCATTAAGAAACATACACTTGCTGGGACACCTGGGTGGCTCAGTCAGTTGAGCATCCGATGGACTTCAGCTCAGGTCATGGTCTCACAGCTGCTGAGTTTGAGCCCCAAGTCAGGCTCTGTGCTGACAGCTCAGAGGCTGGAGCCTGCTTCGGATTCTGTGTCTCCCTCTCTCTCTGCCCCTCACCCTCACTCACGCTTTGTCTCTCTCTCTCTCTCAAAATAAATAAACATTTAAAAAAATTTTTAACGAAACATACACTCGTTAATTAATCAGACAAGGAGAAGGGTCTCCCACTACCTAGTTTTAAGCAGATCAACTAACCTCTATGAGAGTTACATGGCACTTAACACTGTGATTCATAAATACTCTGATTGGGGACAAAAATGGTAGAGACACCTCTTCCTCAAATCCTTAACTACTCATGCTTTTTATATGGATTGTGTGTTCTACTGGATCTTGGAAAGACAGACTGGAGCTCACACAAGTAATTGAAAGGTCCCCAAACAACATTTAAAGGCTGTATACAAATTCAAGCTAAAAGCCTGTGTAGAAGTTCACTTGTATATAAGTTAACAAAACAGTTAATACTGAAAGAGATCCTTACTCAAAGAGGCAATGTGTAAATGTAGTGTGTTAACAGTTCAAGCTGTAGATTCTTTTCATTCTTTACGCTTTCATTCCACCACCATAAAATTAGCCCTTTTAAATCACAGAAGTCTCTAGGTACCTAGTCTCCCAAAAGCCCTGGGAAGGCCCACAGGGGGTTATCTAAACTGAAATTGGCAGACCCGGCAGATAAAGTTAATGGAACTCCCATTCTGGAGAAAGACCTAGGAATGATCAAACACTGAAATCCTGTGGTCCTTAAGCATCTACTTGGATTTAGTACTTCACAGAGGAAGGCAGGCAGGCAATAAACTGACACTTGGAGAAGAAGCAAATATAGGCGTGGCGGTAGCTCTGGACTGATTGTACAAGGGCAGTTCTGAAGGGCGTCACAAAATCCTACTCAACGCTTGGAGCATCCGGCTCCTGTATCAGAGACCTAGGTCCCAAACACCTTGAGCTGGAGAGAGAAAAATAAGCCCTTTTTAACACACAACCCGCTCCTGGGCCCTTGCGCTTGCCCCACCCCGGCGTCATCACCTCGTGGGCGCACAGCAAGCAGCTGTGCGGCCACACGCCCGGGACCGTACATCTGGCAGGCTGGGCTCTAAGCCTCCGCGCGCAGCACTTCCTGGTTGGTCCGGGATGCTGGTCCCCTCGCGCCGCCATCCCCGCCATCCCACGGCGCACGCGAACCGCGAAAAAGGACCCGGGGCACCAGCCTCAGTGCACCTGCGAGCCCCGCGGTGCACCCTGAGGGCACCCCCCCCCCAATTCTCCCGGAGCCCGCGGAGTTCTGCGCTGCAGGCAGCACCCGCGCTGACAAAAGCACTCCCCGAAGTTTTGTCCGCGTCTCCTCGGCAAGAACTGGGCCCGAAGGCGCGCACAGGAGGCCCCGGGCCGTCCAGGGAGGCCGGTCCCGCGGGGCCGCCGGGCTCTGGCGCCTGCAACAGACGCCTCTGCCAAGGTCCCGTCCAAGTTGGGCGGGGAGCGGCCAGCTGCCCGGGGCCGACGGGAGGAGGGACGGAGGGCGAGGGGAGCGGAAACCAGACGCCCGCGGGAGCCCGGCGCGCCCGGCCGCGGCGCGGCTCCTACCTGGAGGGCGAGCGCGGCCGCGGGCACCTGCGCGGCGACGGCGGATTCTCGGGCCTCGGGCGCAGCTGGCACAGCTGGAGGCGCGGGAGGAGGGAGGGCCTGAGGGGGGCCTGCGCTGCGCCGCCGCCCGGAACTCGCCGCCCGGATTCGCCCCGGCCTGGCAGGGGTGGGGCGAGGCGGCGCCGGGTCCGGGTGCGTTGCGGCGCAGGCTGGCCGCCGAGGCTGGGCCGAAGGGCTCCGGAGGGCCGCCGGATCTCCTCGTCCCCGTTTCTTCTTCTCCCTTCTCCCGAAGTTTCGCGACCCAACCTTATCAACCAATGGAATGTTCACTAGCATTATTGCTATGACTCTCAGGTGCTCTTAAGCCACCAAGTGCCCAGGCGCCGTTCCAGAAGCTTTGCGTGTGTTATCCTCCCTCGTCTACCGCAGCCGGTAGCCACGAGTGGCCTTTGGCAGGTAGGGAAACGCGGGTCGAAGAGATGAAATAATTTGCTTGAGGTGACACAATAAGACATGGAAGCCTTGTTGACATTACCTAGAAAGCCTTCTTTCAACTTCCTAGATTGGTGCTATTGCAAATTGATAGATAAGGAAACTGAGCCTCAGGAAAGTGAAGTATCCAGCCTAAGGTCACCCAACTTAGAACACAGAATACTGGAATTTGTGTCTCAATGTGTGTAAAACTGAAGCTGAGTATAATTCAGAAATCTTAACATAAAATGATAAGTTTGGGAATAAAATGGAAAATTCCCAGTCTACCCATGGAGCTGTTCAAATACAGATTTTTTTTATGTTTTTAGTCCACCTAGAATAAAAATCTTAAGAGAAAGAGGACCAGTTATCTTGTGGCTTGACTACCAGGCCTTTTGGAATATGGTTTTGAATACAGACCACCTCCAACCTCATTACATTATATTGCATTCTGCCAAGGCCAAGGAACAATCGCCCCCGCATACACCAAACTGTTAATGACCATGGCCACTTTAAAGCACTTAGTGGCTATTGCAAAGCTGAGTCTGGCTGAGTTACATAATTTCTTACTGCAAACATGGAACCACATGAAGTGAAAAATGTCATATTCCAGCCCAGGAGAAGGGGAGAGGGGTGAAATTGCAGTCTGGAACTCTTTTTTCCTGTAACCTATAGTTGCTCATCCCTCCCTAGACCACATTTTTTTCTCTTGAGCACATCTTTTCCTAATGATAGAAGAGTCACGCAGCCGTCACTCTTTCCTTGTTGACAGAAATGATTGATGTCTTTTAAATCCTAGGATACTGACAGCTTTTTACAATTAAACACATGGCTCTCTGAGCAAACAGAGAATTGCCTAAGAAGAGTTTGGCAAGTGTTAGACAAGCATGTTACTGAAAGGCTGAATACTCTTTCCTCCTCTTCTTTCTCAAGTTTTATTAGTCACAGATGATTTGGTAAGTGTTCTACACACAATTAACTGCACTCTTACAAGCTTGTCTTTAGAAATCGTAATGCTTTTGATTGAGAAGCAGCAGGCTATAAAATTGCAGCCCAAATTCCTAAGTATCATCATTAGAACATTTGGCACTAACCTACCACAATAGGTCTTCCTATTAACTATAATGAGAAATAAAATTATTTAAGTGCCCTCACAATAATTGAATTTCTGCTTCCCTGTGCTAGAGGAATCAAATAGTAAAAGGCCATATGTTGTTGATAGAAAAGCATATGCTATGGACTGCCAAAGAGAAGTTTTAGGTGTAGTATGATTCTGTATGTAATTATTTCTGTTTTCCCGAGAGGTTTGCTGATTGTTCGTTGTTGCCATTATTTTTTCCAAATCTTGCCTGTCTTCAGAGATGTCAAGAAAATGTGACTACAAAATCCTATTATATATCCATCTGGATACACGTCTGACATTTTTATCAAAATTCTAAATTCTCTTTAATTTGCATCTTTTCCTCTCAGTATAAAAGTAATATATGCCCATTTTTATAATTCCCACATGTCTGTTTTACAAAAATACAAAGTTTCGGAGATAACAGAACACAAAATTTTTTGAATTAAAATAACCTATAACCCCCCAACATACCCACTGTGTGTTGGTACTTTTCTTTTTTGTTCATTTTCTATACCTAAACAAATACTGATTACAAAATTAGCATCATGCGGTACAATTTAGAATCCTCCTCGTCTCACTATTTTTTACTGTCACTAATTTTGTAAATATGATATTTAATGGTTGAAGAATATTCCAATCATTTATTTTCATCTGTTCACCTACTGATGGTTCTTAGGATGTTTCGAGACTTTGAGGCAGTTTACAAACATTCTGGAATGAACATTGTAAATACCAATCTTTGTTGAGATATCTAAATTCTTGGGATAGAGTCCTACAAGTGCAACTACTGGATCAACATTTATGAACATTTTCAAAGATCTGTGAGATGCTGTGAAAACACCTTCCACTATTAAGTATTAGTTTCTTATATTTGAAAATGGGATGGATGAAAATCATATCTTGTTTTAAGCAGGACTCATTCAATAATCAATAATGATGAACACTTTTTTTCATGTTTATTATTTGTGCTGTTGACTGACAATGATATATTTATGTCCATTGCCTGGTTTTTATATTATTGCTCTTGTTAGTTTGCATTAATGCATTTAATAGAAACATATTATGTGTGTGTGTGTGTGTGTGTGTATATTACTTATAGAATACATGGTAAAGTATGATTACTAATACACATATTATTTATAGATTGTTCTTTAAAATTTACTTACCAATGCATTCCCCCAGATTTTCCCTGATGGTGTTTTTTTATATGTATACTGCTGTTCAAATCATCTAGGTCATTTGGGGATGCCCAGCATCTATCATCTTTTCTGAGAGATCTGTTTTCTTTTAGAGGATTAGCCCTCCCCAAATAGGATATAGTCTCAGCAAGAGGACAGTTGGGTGCAGCAGTCTCCAAAGCAAAGGGCAGATCCTTCCTCCCTCCCACCACCACTTCATTTACCTCAAAGGCCAGGTGGACCGAACAAGAGAGCAGCTGATGTTTGAGATGAGATTCACTGAGCAAAGGCAATTGCAGCCCCAGCAACAGCGTTGCCCGGACTCGGGTGACCCTATGAGAAACAGTTTCCTACTTCCTGATTTTTTTGTTTTTAACCTCTGCACTTCCTCAGTATCTGCTGTTCCCAGCCTTGCCTTAAGTCTGTGAGCCCCCAGTGCCTTTTCTTTCAGACAATCAAGGGTCTGCATCCATTGTTTGCCCCCAGCAGTCCTCAGTCACATAACCTGTGTGACTTCTGTGTCTTTCGGTCCACCTGCCAGTCCCCTGGTTATCAACCACTCACTTCGTTTATTAATTTGTAAACATTTAATTATTAATACTAATTAACCACAGCACACATCTACTCTGAAAACACAGAATACAGAGGAAGATATTTTATCCTTGATCACCTGCTGACATAAATCAAGTCAGCCATCATGACGATGACAGGAAGATGAGAACAGTGTGGTTATCAAGACTTAAAATTTTTAAAAAACACATGACCTAATTAATTAATTAATTAAATTTAAAAATACATGACCATGGCTGTGGCCAAAAATATCAAGAGAGAATGAGGAACAGAGTGCATCTTGCCAAAGTATATAAAGCTTTGTGTCTCTATATCTTCATTTTAGCTTTCTGTGAACCATTAATGTTTTATAATTTCTCCCAATAACATTAAGCTGTCTACTACCTGATTCTTCAAAAGGGGCCACATTAGACACCTACAGCCCCAAACAGGGATGAATCTTCTCTGTTACCCTTAGCCAGGCCCTTTGAAGGATTTTCTTATCCAACAGTCATTCAATAAGTCTAATGACATGTTTACAATATCTCTATATTTTCAGTGTTTACTTGTTGTTTAAAATAGTACTCATTTTCGTGGATTTGTACATACAAATATACATATATGTATGTATATGTACATGTATACATATATATGTATATGGATATGTACATATATGAGGTAGCATGATTATTAAATAAGAAAACATACAAAATAATTTAAAAGAGTGAATGTTTAGAACAAGTGTATATCAATTGATTGCTACAATTGTATTAAAGTAACTGGAGGGGCGCCAGAGTAGCTCAGTGGGTTAAGCACCCCACTCTTGATTTCGGCTCAAGTCATGATCTCGCTGGAATTAAGCCTCCCCTCAGACTCTGTGCTGACATCACAGAACCTGCTTGAGATTCTCTTTGGCCCTCTCCCTCTCCCTCTGACCTTCCCCAGCTCTCTCGCTCTCTCTCTCTCTCTCTCTCTCAAAGTAAATAAATAACCATATAAAAATAAATAACTATAAAACATCTGTATGTGGTTTCAAAAAAATCCATAAATTGTACAGTAAAAAATGATCTCAAGAAAGCAATGGCTCTAGAAAACCATAATAAAGAAAAATTTTTTTTCAAAGCTATTTTATCCAACATACTCCTGTATTTTTGATTTTCAGGCTTAACATCAAATTTAAGTATCTATCCATGCATACATTCTGGAAACCCACTATGCTGCAGGTACTGTTATAGTAGCTAAGGATATTGCATGAACAGAAGAAGCCTCTGATTTTCTGTAGGAAGACAGACCTGAAATACAGAGGAGATGATGGGTACCATGCAGAAATATAAACCAGGGTAAAGGAAAAAGCTTCCGGGGTGGGATAGGAGGAGATTGGCAGTGAAGGCCTCTCTGGTAAGATAACCTGGGAACAGAACAAACGGAGAAAGCCCATCAGCTCTCTGGGCAAAGAGCATCTAGGCAGAGGGACTACGAGGTACAGAGATGGTGAGCTAGAAATGTGTTCGGTGTTTTCAAGGGTTAAGGAGACAAAGATGACTAGAGTGTATGAGCAAGGAGACAAGTAATAAAACTGGAATCAGAGGCGACGGGGAGCAAGTTCCTAAAAGGAAGAAGTTTGAACTTAATGTTACTTGATGTGGAAAGCTTCGAGCCAAAGAACGACATAATCTAACTTGTTATAGAAGGACCACAGTGATGGCTATATGGAGAATAGACTGCATGCTGGGGGGAGTGAGGCTAGAAGCTCAAAGACAAAATAACCATCTAAGCAAGGGTGGACTTGAGTGAGAGGCATGGAGGTGTTGGAAGTGGTCAGATTCTGCATGTTGGTATAGACAGCAAAGAAACCAATACTCAGGAAGACCAATATGAGCCTTATTTGGCAGGGGTATCAGTTTATGAGGAGGTGAATTAGTAAAGGCAGCAGTGGGACCAATTCATTACACTGCTGTTGCATTTTTATCTTCAGCTAGGCAAACGTTCTCTGTGTTTGTGAAAATAAATTTGAGCTCTTGCAATTTTGCCTATAGGACTCATTTCTACCACCAGTTCCTGTACCATACATACTCCCATTTCAAAATTACAGACAGATTTCTTTCCCATAAAGTTTTTGACTCAGCTTTCACCCA